TCATTAAGGAATTCTTCGAAACTTTTTTTCTATATATACTCACAATTCTTCTTTTTTTCAGTAAAGCCTTTAATAAATACGCCTATCCATGACACTATTTTGTTAAAATTAATAAAGTGGTAATATGCATGTGGTAACAATATATTATATAAGATAAGTGGTCTTTTAGAGTCTAGCCATTAAGTTAATTGGCATTTTAGGAAATTACGTTTAATAAGCAGTTTGCTTTGACTTAACTATTGTAACCCTTACTTGGGTAAAATATTAAATGACCAAATTTTTTTATACAGTAAAATCTTTATAGCCTTTGCATTTGCACTAACCTTGGTCTTAAACCAACCTCGAAAAAATATCTTTACTTAGTGAATTTACTCTTAAAATAATGCTTGTTGCTGTGTTTCTACATATATGGCAATACGAAATATCATTCTCGCTTTATATTGTGATAAAATTTATTTTAATTTACCTGCAGCATCAAATATTAATTCATTTTAGAGTAGTTGTTTGACCTTGTTTTCTCAACTTGGTCATATTGGCAGGAAGACCTAGAGTAACGCACCTAGTCCGGAGTCCATATTATGCATAATAATTTCCAGATTCGGATCGTGGGCTTGGTACATTTCCAGACGTTTCGTCGGCATCATAGTCGGCATTGTCAGTGATCCTTGTCATTCTTAGTACCACATTACACCTCGTCAAAGAGACAAGTGAAGTCGATCCTTTCACCTATTGTCTGTTTAGAAAGGCCACAACATCTTGATCTTTATACCTTCAAATAATTCATTTTATTTATCGGACCGTAGTGACTAATTTCTCTAGCTTACTAGACAAAATCTTGTTCCAGTTTCGGTTGCTGAAACCAAATACAGTATTACGGCCCTGTCGTCTCCCAATACACAGTATTAAACTCATAATCAATCAGACATTTTTAGTTGATAAATTTGATTTTTAAATGGTACAATCTTCTCAAAGAGTGATGGTTATTGGGGTTTAATTTTACACAAATTAACTATTTCTAACCACTAGCTACCATCGTGTGAAAATCATCTTTCGTCCTAATTACTGGCGAGATCATTAGTTACATGTTACATATTAACCAAACTATTTGGCATTCTATCCTATCCGTTGCTAGGACTTGTGTAAATTAGATTTGAATGAAGCACTTTATAAAAGGTCATTTGATAGTTTGATCAAGATCTACTTTAATATACCTGGAGTGCACAGGCTCTCCTGGACAATTGACATAGGAAAGCTCATAGTTAGCTTAATCGAAAAAGCTTTATATTTTTATTAATTCTCACTGTTTTAAGGTATTGTACAACTTTCAGTTCATATATTTGCAGGCTTTGAATACCTATTTTCTGTTTTAGAAACCCAAGATTAAGGCGTTCAGCTAAATTGTTTTTTGTACTGCATACGAAGCTAATAGCTAAGCTATTATTTACTTATTTAAAACTTAATTCATCAAATTATCTTGAGAATCTTACATATTAATTTCAAATACTTCCTTCTTCTGGAATTTTGAAACTTTACGTGATCAACTATTAATTTATCTAAACTGTAATCAAGTATAAAGGCTATTGACTATGCTGATGCCCATACATTCCTCGTTTTTTCACTATATTCCATTAAGTGCTAATTCTATACATTGATTTACAACTTACATTATCAGATTTTTGAATCTTCTTTGCTCCCGTCATAACAGATCTTGGGTCGAGTATGAAAGTGCCTTTCCATTCATTTGTTATTTAATTTTAGTCATATTCAAGTATGTGGTTCTTAGATTAGGGTTATTTGACATAAGAATTCTTACTCCTAACTTTAGTTTCCTGATCGCTACTATAGTTAACCAATGTTCCTAATAAAAGACCCTATTGTGATAATTTTAGCCGAAATTCTGTTGAGAATCCGGCTGAGTGACTTATTATCCAAGAGTTGAGTTCAAGTCTTATTGGATCCTGATACTCCCCTATCTCTATCCCGAACTTTATATTTCACTCCATGACTTAAAAGACCTCTTAACCGTGAATTCACGCATACGATTTTAGCCTATTTTGTCCACATGGATGCGCAGCAGGCATTTATCGGATGCGTGTAGGCCAGATAGTCCCTAAATTAAACCTTGACATTAGGGTTACCTTTCAGGATTATTATCTAAATTCGCAGTATACTAACAAATTAAACGATCCATTGTCTTATTTAAAAGATTTTTCAATACTTTAAATTTATTCCTATTATTAACCCACTTTACCTCACACTTTTATCATTAGGAAATGCATCGTATCTGAAGTATGGCTACAACCAGTTCTTCTATCTTCCAATCTATACATATTCATATACAAATATGCATATAACTCCATATATTTTTCTTTCTTATACTGTTTCTTAAATATTGAATTCTAATTTTATGAGAAGGATCGGAGCAAAAGAGCTCATATTTTGAGGCTACATGGAGAAATTAAACAACACAAATGAGGCTAACTACCAATGTCTTATTACTTTGCCAATTTACGATCATACCTTCCTTATATGCCTGGGGCTCACTTATGCGTTTGTTTCGGGTGTCTATATTCTATTTTTTCTTCATCTCAACAAATAATTATCTATTGTTTATGTTATCATATCGCAATTCAGTTTCGCTCACTTAATTGTCACTTAATATTTTATAATTAGTTTATCTTAAGAAGAAGATTTTAATTAGTTAATAAGTATTAGCCACCTAGCTCGCTAAATTTCATATTTTTTTTATTATAATTCATTTTATATTCTCTCTCTATTGAAAGCAGGCACAATCCAATTCCGGTCCCGAAGTAAGCATGCCATCAAACCTTGCCGGCGGGGCACTTTATACTCCCGCCAACTGGCAAACTTCTGCATATCCATTTTCAACGGCTGCCTCCACTACCAAATCTTCGGGTTCGGAAATCGTCTCATCAGATGAGTCTAGCGTGAACCTACTTCCTTGGAGTTGTGCCGGGTCTAGTGAAGAAGCTTCTGGGTCACCAAGGGTTCGAGTTGTCGCATTGACCCTCGCTCGCGACGGTGGTCTTCTAGATATGGATGATGTGGTAGCTGATGTGCTCGACGATAAAGAGTTGGTGAGGTTTCTTACTCGGTGCTCCTAGATTCTCTTTCCTTCCCCTCCATTGAGCTATTGCAAAACCTCGCAAAAATGTGTCTGTCATGTTTGATTTTGTGATTACTATGCATCTAGATATAAAGCCTGGTATACTTTATCATATTTATAACAATTTAACCTCTTCTTATCAGTTTTTCCTAAACAATAAGTTGGTTTTATGGATGTAATAGGTAGTAAATAATATTATTTTTAATGTAATATTTATAATATAAACAATTTAAACATTATACTGTACAGTTGTTTTGTAGCTATACGCCTGATTTCTTTAAAAAAATCGTTTAGATTAGCAATTTCTAAAGAGCCACTCTGAAGTATACTTTAATGAGTCAAGTGGATCGACCCCTAGTATTATCTCCCGAATCATTCGATCTTTTCTATTTGAAATAGATCTTACCATCTATTAGCAGTAGCTAATGAACATTAAGAAAGATAAATTTTTTATATGCCTAGTACAGTTGACGTTAAGTATACGACTGAAATGTTATTCTTAAATTTAAACTAAGAGTATGTTTCACGTTTAATGGATAGAAGTGACTTCTTTGTTTCTTAAAGTTCGAGACACCTGGTCCTTTGTTTGATTACTCTATTAATTGCTCTTAAATTTATCCAGTGACTGACATTGTTATGCTTGAATACTCATAGACCTGATTACCCCTTGAAGCATGAGTCCTGTAAGCCTTTATTTTTTCACTAGATTTGGGCAAGTTTTAATTTTTTTTGTTGGGCCTATGGAAGTTAGTTCTTTAAACTTTGTCTTTTTCTGCATTTCCCATTTCGACTTTCACACAATTAGTGCATCAAAGTATATCAATTCTTTATGTGTATAACTTTTTGGTATTCAGAATATCTGGTTGTTTTGAGAATTGTCTTTTATTTGAATATGTCTCATTTATATCTAGGTTAAATGCAATCTACTCAATCAATCATGTAGAGAGAATGTGAGAATAATATTATATATTTTCATAAATAGAAGATATTATCTTTTATACGTGTAAAGGGTCGTTGTCGGTAGATAAACCGATTTTGTAAGTAATTATGACCTCGTTTTTGAAAACTTGCTCTGGACAAAGGGTGAACGCATTCAGTCTTGCCACCTCTGCAATAGTAATCATGATAGTTTCTTGCATCGGGCCGGTGACTTGGTACGCCTTTAGACGTTTCTTCGACAGCGTTAGTGAGAGACGCTAGTCTTAAAACCGAGCTACTACTCGTCAGTAGCAAGTGACGCTAGACTGAGTACCCCACTAACCCAATACAGTTCTTGGAGGCTGCGACCAATCAAAGTCCACACTCTCTTGGTATTCTTATATGAAGCCGATTTTCGGCTGCTGCTCTGATTCCTATCGGGAGGAGGATCGTTTATAGTACTTATCTTCACTTGATTGTCTTCTATTCATTCTTGCAACAATTCATCACAGTCCATTTTTTATCTTAAGGTTTGTATTTTCCTCATAGTCAACTAATCAGACCTGTCTCCCATGCTGAATAAATTTTAGCCACCATCGTCTTTACTACAACATTTTTCTTAATGGCATTATCTAATTTTGTCTTTTTACTATTATTATTCAGTGTCAAGCTTAATCCAGCATACGAATTTGCCTTATCATTATCTATCAAAACGAACTATGTAACTCGAGAGAAGCCTTTTCTGCTTTACAAGTTACATATTTCTTCAGACTCACTGGCTTTTGGATAGTTTGGACTTATGCCGCTCTACAAATACTACTTGGTTTCGATTTCGGTTGAGGTTGCTGCTAATACTGAAGCATGGTATCAAGTCCAGTCCTGCTTCAACCTTGTTGGTAAATACTACGTCAGTCTCATCGAGTCGGTGGCGTTTAATTTTATAGCTAGCCTCACTAAACTTGTCTCAATCTATTTGATTCGGTAATGCTCATATCTGTTTAATATGCTGTCTACTATCGCATTTGATTAGCCTCTGCGTATTTCACGCCCTTTATACTTTACCAGGTTAAGCGAAATTATAAAAATATAAATTCCTACTTTATATTTCTAGCACAACGTATCTACAATTTGGTCATACTTTCCCCAAGTCAACTTCGCCTAGATCTCGGTGGGACTCAAAACATGACAATGCAGCTTATAATCTCAAAATGTTAACCACTACGTCACATTAGCACAAATTCCATTGGGTCACAGGGCAGATCTCATTATGTGGTGGGTTTGTCGATAAGGCAAAGTTATATTCGCTATAACAATCGACTATATTACTTGTTTTTCATTTGTAAGTAGGTTTTCGAGAGTCCCATTAGGTCAGATATATGAAGTGTGTTCACCCTATTTCGTTTAAGATGTTGAAGCAATTGTAGTTGAATTTTCCCACAATGATATGAATAGACCTTAGCTTTCCATTTAATTTCACATAGCATTGCTTTCCAAAAGGTATTTTCTCATCCATACTGGACAGCAATTCCGATCTAGCCTAGGTCTCATCAGCACCCCCAGCGGTACCAGAATCGTGATAGTGCAGCGCCTAATGCTACGAATGCCCTTGGGTGAATTGTATGCACTGCTTTGTCATGGTTCGAGTCCCGCTGGGTGTGCTGATGAGACCTAGGCGAGATGAGAATTGCAGTCCAGCCTGAAGGAGAAAATACCTTATGGGAGGTAATGGAATGAATACGTAGGGTCTACTCATACGATTGTGGGAAAATGCAACTACCTATCCTTCCTCAATATACTAAAATCTACTTACAAATGGAAAGCAAAAATAAAGTGTCTACGTTGACTGTGCTGGCTGCTTCGGGCCGCTAATCTAACTTCATTATGCATGGGGCTCCCTCTTTAAGAATCATGTCGGTCCTGAGTTTAGATGAAGGAGGGGTAGGGAAGAAGAGGGATCTGTAATGTACTATGGGCTTATAAAACAGACCAGGAAATTGTTATGTAGCATGACTTGGGTCGGATGCACAAACAAACGGAAGTTGGCGTGATAGCACAACCGTTCGGCAGAAAGTTGGTCTAGGGATTGACTTTACTTGTCCCCTCGATGAGTTGTAGCTTGGTGTTAAGAATGGCAAGAATCATTGATGATGATGGGAATGTACCAAGTTCACGGTCAAATTATGCGAATTATCATGACTACTATTGAAGAGGACCTTGGATAAGGTG